TTTTTTTTTATCATCCCCCCACCCTGCCCCAAATATCCTTTCTCAAGACTATTTATCCAGTCCATTCTATTTTTCAGAATCTTTCATAAAACATTCTGTCCACAACTTGCACACAATATTCAAGACAGGATCTAATAGAAAACTGAACAGTGGAATAATTATATGGTAAAGCAATGCAACAAAAGGCGTGGTAAAGAATAGAAATTATTGGACAGCATCATGCTTTCTTTTTAAACTGATATCAGCTCTCTTTTTCCCCCTTAATTTCTTTTTTTTAAAATAATATTTATTGTAATATGCAGGTAATCATTCTGCTTCCTAGAGAAGTCAAGCTTAATTATTGGCTGGATCCTCTTCCTCCTCCTCCTCTTCCTCCTTCTCCTGTTTGCCATTGCCTTTTTCTTTTTTTTTTTTAATAAAAGTTTTATTAATTTTAACAACAAATAAAAACACATAAAACATAAAACATAACATAAGAACATCATCATTCTTCATAAATTTACAGACAGTGTATCGGTTGGTTTATCACTTCTTTTTGTGCATCTATTTCATAGTCATCATAATAATTATATTACATAATAACTCATATTATCAATCAACAATTATATATCCTAATATCCTTATTAAACAATCATTTGACTATAATTTAACTAATTCATGCTTAAGCGAGATAACTATAATTTAGTTAATTTATAACAAATCGTAAAATCATACCAAATCTATCTTAATATAATATTCTAAAAATATTATCAAAACCAAAATATATATATATTCTATTATTATATTGTTTTATCTAACCATTGATAAAAAAGATCCCAAACTTCATAGAATTGTTTATCTTCTTGTTCTCTAATTTCAAATGTCAATCTACTCATTTCAGCACATTCCAATATTTTCTTAATAATTTCTTCCTCTAATGGTATTTTCTCACTCTTCCAATTTCTAGCAAATACAATCCTAGCCGCTGTTAACACATTTACAATCAAATACTTTAAGTTTTTATTAAATGTATCAGGTAAGATTCCCAATAGAAAAATCTCTGGTTTCAAATCTATATGTTTTTTTGTCATTTCTTCCAACCATATGCGAATTCTAGTCCAGTATTTCCTGGCCTCCTCACAAGTCCACCACATATGGTAATATGAGCTAGGGATCTGATGACATTTCCAACATTTTTCGGATTTATTCTTGAACATTCTTGCTATTCTTGTCGGGGGAAAATGCCACCTGTAAAACATCTTATACAAATTTTCTTTATATGCTACTGACATTGTCATTTTATAATTTTGAGACCACAATTTTTGCCATTTTTCTAAATCAATCCCATATCCAAAGTTCTTCCCCCAAACAATCATTGTTTCTTTGACTTGTTCTTCCTCTAATTTAATTTCCAACAAATAACTATATAGTTTTTTAATCACTTTTTCATCAGCACCTGTCAAAATCCCATCTAAATCAGTCAATTTATCATAAAATCCTTCTGTTTTAGAATCTTTAAGATACCTTGAGTGTATTTGCGCATATGAAAACCAATTCATCTTTATATCTTGTTCTTCTAGCTTTTGCATCGTTTTAAGTTCACCCTTTTCATCCAGTATTTCCCCATATCTAACTGTTTGTTCCTTCTTATAAATTATGGGATAGGAAAAAGCTTCAATAGTTGATAACCAAACTGGAATTTTCAAATAACATTGTTTCTTAATTTTCTCCCAATTCAACAATAACGATTTCCGTATATAGTGCCTTCTGAAATAACCCTGCGATTTAGTTCCCTTATACCATAAAAAAGCATGCCAACCCAATAATAAATCATGTCCTTCCAATGCCAGTAATCTAGACTTTCTTAACGTTATCCATTCTTTAACCCACATTAAATTTGCAGCTTGATAATACAACTCCCAATTAGGAAGGCCAAATCCTCCTCTAATTCTAGCATCCTGTAAAAGTTTTAGTTTTATTCTCGCTTTCTTACCTTGCCATATATACTTCAACACCATTTTATTTAATTCATCAAAATAGTCTTTACCAAGCCTAATTGGTATTGTTTGAAACAAATATAAAATTCTGGGTAAAATATTCATTTTAATTGTTGAGATTCTACCTATCAAAGATAATTGTAGATTTTCCCATTTTTTCAAGTCAGATGCTATCTGCTGTTTAAGTTTAATATAATTATTCTCTTTCAGTGTAGTACATCTTGACGTCAAAATTATCCCCAAGTATTTAACTTTATTCGTAACTTGAATTTTCAATAAGTCTGCCAACTCTTCTCTTTGCCTTAATAACATATTTTTTGTCAGAATCTTTGTTTTGTCTTTATTTATTTTCAAGCCAGCCATCTCACCATACGTCTCTATCTTTTCCAGTAGTTTTAAAGCTGTCTCTAGAGGGTCTTCCAGAATAAAGACCAAATCGTCCGCAAAGGCTTGCAATTTAAATTCCTCCTTTTTAACTTTCATTCCTTTTATATTTGTATCCTCTCTAATATTTCTATTTAATACTTCCAAAGTCAATACAAATAACAAAGGGGATAGTGGACATCCTTGTCTTGTGCCTTTTTTAATATTGATAGAGTCTGTAAATTCTCCATCTATCATCACTTTTGCTGTTTGCTTATAATATATAGCTTCTATTGCTTGAATAAATTTTCTAGCAAAACCCATCTGTTCCAATAATAATAACATAAATCTCCAATTCACGTTATCAAATTCCTTTTTAGCATCTAAAAATATCAAAGCCATTTGCTTTTCAGGGTGTGCCTCATAATATTCC